TGAGTAATAATTACTTCAGTACAGTTCTTTGATAAGTCTACCTTCTTCCTCGAATCCATTGACGTTTACAAGAAACTGCGTTCATGAAGTAAATATGGAAGTATATTTCCAGTAACTTGATTAATTTGGATTTCGTTTTAAATTTATATTCACAAAACGTTCTTACGTCATAAAAATAATAGTTTGACAACGCCCCAGTCATCATTTGTAGCAGTATAAATTTCCAATAAGTATTGATAACGATGATTACTTGTTAGATTTTGGTTTTCTGTTTGTTTATATTTGATTGGTTCTACAATTTTATATTAAATGATCGATTTACCAACCCCACATATCTGAATAGTTTATTGTATTCTAATTATATTCAAAATGAATCGCTACCGAGGATAATGATCAAAGTGTTTGCGGACTTTCATTCATTAATTAGAGAGTGGGTAGAATTTTTCGCCTGTTATTTAACCAGATACTTTGGTCGAGAACAAACTTACCAGCCCGATTATAAATTAAGTTTTAAGTATTAACAGGTGATTAATTAATTGTGGAGGTTAATTCAATGGTGAGATAGTTCCGGGCAGTTTAACTGCGGCTAGTGAACCAGCTGTCTTTGGATAGTTGTTTCTTTGTAGGTTGACAACTTAATGATGAACGCCTGGTACTTTTTCAACAACTTATCTCCGCGATCAACCAAATACACACTGATGGTATGCTGAATGGTGGCCGATTTCGCGATAATTTTCAAGAAGTACTAGCGAAAATTCGTGACAGATGGGTATTTAGTAATGGGAAAACTTATTGATGAAATGACTGAAGTTGATCTTGTAAACTACTAGAATTACATTCAGCGGCTTAAATATAATGTACTCCTTACAAGATCAGCCGAAGTCACTATGTGATGAAAGTTATCTCACAATATTAATCGATGTTGAATAGATTTTCACATACTCACTACTTTTCTTTTGTTCTCTATTGGTTGAGTATAAATCAAAATGTTGTTTCGTATAAATAAGACTTACTTAATTTGCAGAGAAACTTCTAAGGCTAAATTTATTACTATAAGTATAGTATTTTTTACTAGGTGTATATGGATTGTAGAATCCAGGACATCTAATTTGTCCTATTTGAGAGTCGTCAGTTTGATCTTGCATTTTAATGCTGATGTTCTCAATAAGGGTAATTTGTTTCAGGAAAAAGTCTGTACATGACTTTAAATAAAAATTATTTGTCAAAATGATATCTCTCATTATCAATTGTACTTGACAGGAAACTGATAAAACTCCAGGTAGAAATGAATGGAATTTATCTTTATGTATGCCCACTGGTGAAAAAAAAGAGAAAATATCTGTAGACCAACTGTAATGAATACAATTTTAAAAAGATGTAACTTCTTTCCTTATTAATTAATAAGTAACAACGGATTACCTATGTGTTTCCACGGTTCAAGGCACAGTTAAATCTGTCTACCAATTTTTTGTCGTAGAAAGTAATGTGACTATTTTTTACAGTTTTTAATATTAGAAAATACTGTAAAAATCTATGTACCGAATAAACTTGTTCAATTATAACAAACCAAGACTGAAAATCATTGCCTGAGGGTAAAAGAAAACTTGTAGTACATCAGCGATATATATATATATATATATATATATATATATATAATTATTTCAGAAGGGGTTTTGTGGAGATTTAGTCCCACAGTAGGACGAAACGGCCTTCCACTGCTTCCAGGTTTTCCTTGGTGGTCTAGCATCAACTGGCTCATGCTTTAAACTATGAAAATATAATCATTTATTTTTAAAGACTGAATACTACTACTGTTTGTAAGGGAGAAAAACATGTTCAATAGACGGAATTCAGTGATAAACTGCCGTTACGGTCCTATAAACACTAAAGATTCATAACATTTAATCATTCTATGATTCAACATTTTATTTTACATAAAACTAATCTATCTAGTGAAATGAAATGGCCTGGTTAGATATGAACATTTTCATTGCTGTCTGATAAAGTTCTGTCTACTTCAAGTAGCCAATCACTCAACACAAGTGCTTTGTATCGTAAATTTTATAGCCTGAAGAAATTGTAGGAATTCAAATGATATATTACGTTAAAACAATCCTATATTGTTTACCTAACGAAATATGATTAATTTAAGAGTTCTTGAAGTATAACTGAATTGTAGCACTGTAGTGAACAAGAACACAAGTGGGGACAATCGAATGTATTTTATTACAACATTACAGAATACCTCATTAAAATATGAGAACCATATAGTGAACAGTTAATTCGCAAAATAACAATCAATTGTCTCAATTGGACTGTTTCTTCTGCAAATATCCGTTCATAGTCTTCCATTATAATTATTCATGCATTTTCGTACCAAATGCGTGCCGTTCCCGTTCTCTCCTTATCGATCTTCTACTGAAATACAATCAATGCCCGAACATCACCTTATACTACTTATATGGATATCAGTAACCCACACCACAGTACCTCTGGCAGTAGTTGAAAACATCTGCACTGAAATATATGATTACACTGAATGTCATTTTGGGTTGAGAATGAACCGCAACCTAAGCGCTAATAAAAAAAATCAGAACCAAAATTCAAAACCTGCTGCTCTACCTAATTTTCATTTCTAATTTATATGTTAAGATCTTAGAAAATTTTGAATGGTAAACAAACTTTTATTTTAATAGCTAGTACAGTATGTTTTAAGATTTCACGATATCTTACATTCTTAATTTTATTGATTAGTTAAATAAATTTATCAAACATAGATTTCAGTAATTTCTAATTCGCCATAATTTCTTTTATTCCACTTGACGGTTATCTGACATACGCCTACATAAAACTACTATATTTAAACCAGGAAGTACACTAGTGAGTACATTGTCTCATCAGAAACAGTTAAAATATAAATAAAATTTCAATCATATTTCATTTTAGTAATCATGGAAATAGGCTATTAATTCCTTTTAAAAAGTAAAGTATACATATAATGCAAGCAATATTATTTTGTGGAAGATCATTTTTGCTTCATACCTTCGTACAAAGTTTATTTGCATTTTCAGAAGTGTTAAAACTTTAAGTATTTTGAATCGTTAATTACTCTGCAAAAGTTGTGGATATTAACAAATAAACGCTACCTACCAGAAATAGGTGTTCGACCATTCGAATAGTGTTGTAGTCTAGTTACTCAACGACTTTCATAACATTTATGGGGTGATACTGTTTCACTGATGATAGCAGCTGTAGTATGGACTAGAATACTTCAAGACTATTCGAATAGAAACCTTCAATTCTACTTATTGTTGCCTTTTGTAACTGTTTGAACAGCTCATAAGCTGAAACTTCTTTTTTAAAGTCAATGATATTCCTAGTTTATCAACTTATTCGGCTTCGCTCAAACATTTCAAGTCACCAGTGTTGTGATGGTGAATGACATTTTAAATCAATAAGTACTTGAGTGAACAAACTAGACGTTTCAAAGTGATAACTACGAACGAAATCCTCAAACTATGAAGACACTTCACTAAACAATATGTTATTTGTTTGTGCGAAAACTCGCATGAAACCAATGAGAAGTAAGTGTAAGAAATGTCGACTATCTAATGGTAAAATAATTAAACTTATCTCTATGTTGACCTATCAATAAATATGGATTGTATTATTTAAAAAATTTGGATTTTTCACTTAGTCCAATTGTGAAGCAGATAAGCGAAAGTAATACTGGTAGCAGATTGAATATAAGCGTAAATTGCTTCAATAACAATTGCAAACAGTGACGAACGTACCTTTATATGGAATAATAAAAGGTGGGCTGAAGTAACAGTTATCAACGACCCTGGTTGAAATAAGCTTATCACAAATACATATATATAGCACTTTAAAACCTATGTGAACCTTAAGCTACAAAATTTATGTGTTGTTGTATAGCTTCAAAGTCAAACAACTAATTATCCCTAATTCACCACAATAACTAGGTACCAGTTTCTATTTACTGGAATTCAAATGAAAATTTGAATATAGTACACAGATCATGATGTATTATGAATTGTCAAAAGTCTAGGAGATACATTAGGCTCGAATCTACAACAACTCAACGATTTCGAGGCCTAAAAGACATCAAGTCATGATTAAAAATTTTACTCTAAAAAATGCAAAGATGAAGCATAAACAAAACATATCACAATTTTATTTAAACACATAAATATTGGTACAATCGGGTACAGAATACATATGCGCCACACAAGTCACTTGATTTGTGTATGAGCTGTGATACTGCTCGGTCGTCCAAACCAAAGTAGGCGGTTTTCTTCGGGAAGGGGCCAAACCTGGAGCCTTCAATCTAAAGGTCTGATCCATAAAGCGGTGGAACAACGTTGGGAGATGTAGTCCCACGGTAGCTGGTGACCAATAATAGGCTCATACTCCATTTGTTCCCTCAGGATACTGGAGCCCATGTGAACTATTGGTTTGGAATCAGGGTTTTCCGACCCCCTTATATGGATCCTCCGTATCCATCAACCCGGTTAAAGCGTAGGACATTCGCTTTTCGTCCCCTTAATTTCGTAAACAGCACCCCACCACGGGAGGGCAGTGAGTAGAACTTTTATAGTAGTGGTTGTATGAACGTGTGAGAGCATTTCGAGAGGGAGAGCGGACTCTGCCCACTCTCGGCCGTACCAGGACATTTGGGGGCTTCTTCATTTTTTTAAAGGAAATATTTCTTGAAGTCAGTCACTAGTGAGCATATGATTATAGATCAGAAGGGATTTTGTGGAGATTTCAGTATTTTCAAAGTTGAAATCATGAGTCAATTTAAGCTAGACTACCATCAAAAACCTGGAAGCACTGGACGGCCGTTTTGTCCTATTATGTGACTTCTCAGCAGTGCGCATCCACAATGCAGCCTCGTGAGTTTCAAACCCAGGACCTACCAGTCTCGCGCCAGAGCACTTAACCGATAGACCACTGAACATAAACAAAGAAGTGAATATAAACACATGCAACTTATTTTTTCTTTAAAAATGAAAAAGAATTATATTACAAATAAAAATAAATGCATAAATATGATAAATTAATGATTAAAAGCTATAAAAAGAAAGAAAATAATCGTCTTGTTCATGTACATGTAAGAAATAAGCAAATTAAAACAAAAAAACATTACCAAACAAAATAATAATGATATAAAGCCATTAAATATTGCACATAAAAATGTACATTATTCGCATACATGAGTAGGGATATCTATATGGCTTAAGTAGATGTTTTATGGATACATCAAAAACATGAATGATTAGAAGAGCTATGATATTAATGGATACCATGAAGAGAAAAAACTATTATTTACTAATACAAGAAGGCCATTAAACAAAAAAAAACCCAGAGCAAATAAAAAGAGTCATATATCTGTATGTTAATATTATGATTTAGTAAGTGTGAATAAACAGTACTAATGATACATATACAATATTTTTTTTATATTCGATAGTTTGGAGAATGCTGGTCGGCGGCCTATGCTCCATTGGGAGTAACAGGCGTAAGTAAGTAAAAGTAAGTTTGAAAACAGATTCGATGAAATAAATAAGTAGATTAATAAAAAAAGGTTCAATTCTTTTTGTCCCCCCATAAATGATTGAGATATTCAAAAGAAGAAATTGACTGAAAACAACAAAGAAATTGAACACTTCCTCATTAAATTTCAAAATCATCAAAACTATTATCTTGATGAAATAATCCAAGATGATGATAACGATTTGTATTATTAAATTTATCAGTTGTATTTGAAGTGATTTTATATGCAGGATTTTCATAACCATTTAGTTGCCAATAATGTATTGAATCATTATGATGGTGACGATGATGATTTGTTATTGATTTTGAAATATTTCTAAGACGACTTTGTTTAACTGGTAAAAATTGTGGTGAATTCACTTTTGGCGCTATTACTTCATCAACTTCTACAACAGTTAATGTATAACCTTTACGATTATATCGAATAGAAGTGAAATAACGACGTAAAATAATAAATAAACAAATAAAGCATAAAACTATACCTAGAAGAATTAATAAAATATAAGTTGTTTTATGAACATGTATTTGGGTTGATAAATTAATAGTAGATGAATTGGATGTATTTAGTAATTGGTCAGAATGTAACTAGAAGGAAAAAGGAATAAAAAAAAACAATACGATGTCTAAAAATAATAAATCATGATAACATTTACATTCATATTGAAAAAAATCTGAAAAACACCACAGTATATAAATATTATTTATTTATTTAAACACATAAATATTGGTACAAAGGGCACCAAATATATATGCACCAAACAAATCTCATTTGATTTGTGTGAGGGCTGTGATACTGCCCGGGTGCCCAAACCGAAACAGGTGGTTTTCTTTGGGGGGGGGCACACTCGGAGCCTTTGACCTAAAGGCCTCATCCACAAGGCAGCGGAGCATCGTGAGGAGATGCAGGCCCATGGTAGCCGGTGACCAACAATAGGTTCATGCGCCATTCGCTCCATCAGGATACTGGAGCCCATGTGAACCATTGGTTTGGAATCAGGGTTTTCCAACTCCCCTAGGTGGACTTTCAGTGTCCACTAACCCGGTTAAAGCGCCGGACATTCGCTCTTTGTCCTCTTAATTTTGTAAACAACACCCCCGCGACGAGAAGGCAGTGAGTAGGACTTCCTTGGCAGAGGCTATGTACGCATGGCCATGTGAGGGCATTTCGAGAGGGAGAGCGGACTCTCCCCACTCTCGGCCATACCAGGGCATTTGGGGGCTAACAAGTAATTATTCCTGCTCAATGACGTGTACGGTCAGGGATAAGAGTTTACTTTTCCTCTTATTTTCTTTCTCCTCCTCAAAGTGCTCACATAAGGCCAAACCAAAGAAGCAAAAATTATATTATCTTTTGATAGTGTTTCATTGTTTCCTAGATTAAAAATTTTGGTAGAAGGCCTAGAGAGTGGTTGAGCAGGAAAATCATTTCTTTTGGACTGGGTGTCTGTATCCCAGTCTACATGTTAGTATAATAGTGTATATTATTAATTTTGTGAATTTTCAGTGACCTTTTATTTTTGTAGTGGTTACTGCTGGGTATAAATAGTTAGTTTATCGGTTATAACACTTGTTGCGAATGAATGAATCCCTTATTTCTGTAATTTAAAAGTAAGATGAACCCCATTTCAATAGTAAATGGATTGAAAATCCAGCAGTTATCGAACAAGCTGACAAATTTCTACTTTGAATTTCACATAGTACTAATTTTCTCGAGAAAACATAACTAGAATGCTTCATGGTAGAGTTACACCAACGTATTACAGTAAGGTTGTTGGTTATAATTTTTACGATGTATTTCAACACGTCGTGTATAAACTGTTATTAGATGTTGACGGAATAGGCCGATCTTTCATTACTTCCTCTGAAAGATCAAAAAATGTAGAAACTTAATAAGAACTAAAAAAGGCTAAATATATAAAGCTTCTATATAATTTTGTTATATCCGATATATATAATTTATAGATTTATTTGGAACGCTAGAGACGATTTATACCACAGGTAGATGGCTTCGGTAGTGTTGTGTTCTCTATGCTAATCCGTTTGATTAGGAAGCTTATGTTGTCTCTCTGGACATTATCAGGTGTTAATAAACGCTCAACAATTAAACCATCTAGCTGAAAGAATGCAACAATCTAGAAAGAAACCCAAGTATATCCACATTAATAAGAATCATACAAAGTACATCCAAGGCATCCAACACATACCATAACAACACTTATATTTTGATATGATCCAAATTGAACATTTGTTTTATTTTCTGTCATTTCGCTACTATTAATATGAGGTTTATGTTGATTTTGATTTAATGATAAAGATGAAGAATAATCCACAGTGCTTAAAAATGACTTCACATCAATATCGACCAAGTTGGAAACTGTTGGAATAATTATAGTTGTTTTCATTTGATGAGAATTAGAAAAGTCTTAAATAAATAAATCATGAGAAAATAAAGATAAGAGAAAGTACATCAGTAGGTTTTTTTTCTAATTTTGACTTTATAGTAATAATAAGCACTGATAACTTTTATAATTCATCTCAAAATGGATATCTGGATCTTAATCGTCTGAAGTAATTATTCAGTAGATAGTTAAACTGTTTAACAATCCATTCAATGAAACAAATGAGGAATGTAACAAATAAAATGTTTATGTACAAAACTAGAACAGCTACAATTTGCAGTTGCATGGGTACTAATATTTACTTAATCATGTCCTCCATCATGTACAAACGAGGGTAACGCCATTACATTACTTACACGATATCACTAAGTGTGAACATGCTTTTAGGAATGATGATGATTGGTGAATAAAATGGGAACCTGTTGGCTTTAATGACAGTCAGTCTACGAAACTTTACAAGTGAATCACGATTGAGACGAAAGATAACTAAATCAAGCTCTGAATTTGTTAGTTAAGTATCATAACAAGCTACAGGGGTGTAATATTTTGTAATATAGATAAATGGTGATCCAGTTACTTTACATCCACGGTTTCATAATGAAATCCTATTAAACAGGCTTAGAATAACACCTATATAAATATCTGTTTAGGAGAGTGTTCAGATTGTTGTGAATGTAATTAGTCAGTCACAATTGTTCAGTGAATACAAGTACTAAGTATTTCATCTCTTGCAAGAGATGAGATCATTTAATACCAAAGGTCACATATCAGTGATTTGTTTCACAGAAATGAAATTACTTAAGACAACAAATAAATAAGAAACGAAATATCCCAAAATTAATACGAAATTATAGGCGAATAGATATTTCGCATATCATTAACATTTTAAAAGAAATGATAAATTTCAAAATGATGATATAAAAATATTCTTGGTAATTTCAATAGCTTACTTTTATTTTTATTGCCTCCAAAAGGATGATCTGTCAACATTTTATGTCTCCTAGGAGGTTTAATTCGACTTTTGTTCGATTTGTTGGTCGTCAGCTTATCTGAATATAACGGTTCTAGATGATGACGATGCTTTGCTAGAATCTTTTCAGCTTTTAATGATACCTGTTCTTGAAATGTAGGGAGTTTAATCATATCTGGTAACGTAACATCGGCGACTAAAACAGCTTTTGATTGAGATTCCAAATCGCGATATTCGTTATTTCGAAGATAATTTGCATAAGTTAACAAGGGTGGGCTTAGTTCTGGATGCTACAATATCGGTTTATAAAAACGGAGGTTAACACTATCAATACAAGAAATAAATATAGTGTACAAGTATATATAGAATAAATGGAACATGGCTAGCAGTAGAATCCTAGCTCCGATTTACGATATATTCAATACGATGCCGATTTATACTCTTCCTCCCCACGGTTATTCTGAAACACACAAGTCGGAAGACTAATATTGAGAGAAACCAAAGATTTGACGACAGCAAACCGTGACCAGAAAACTTTTGATTGACTCTAGGGTCTCTGATATAGCTTGAATACTTTTGTAGTTATGGTTAAAAAAATTAATCGATATTTAAAAGGACTCTCACCGGGAAATTTGCTTATTTCCATAGGATTAAGTTCACTGCTCAATTAATTAATGGATTCATGTCATTAGGTCTACTTGGCTATTATTAGTTTTCCATCTACTCTCACGAATGCCGGGACAGTGGATCGAAGTGAAAGCTGGTTGGGATATTTGTTACACCTCCCCAACCAACTCGGACTGACCGATAAACCTAGCATTTTTGCCTAGAACTCTACAATTACGTCATCACTACCCAACTGTTGACTCCATAACAGACGAGCAGTCCTATACATAAATTAATGACCATGTAACTTCTGGTTCGATAGATAACGTCTAACACTCAGTCATTCACGAAGCAGGATATGGCACTAATGTGTAAAGGCTATGTTTGTCATACTACTTCAGCACAGCAAGATAAATTTAACAAGATGAATCCCAAGGTAGTATCCGTGATAGTAGAAAATAAATAAGACAGGTATGACTGCTTTCCGATAATTAGACGGATATATTGTCTATAACTCAGGCAGCGTAAATCGGTAAGAACCTAACGAGCTGTTAATATACATAGCAAAATTTCATCAACTGATACGAAATGCTACCATATCAATGAAGCGATCAACACCGATGATCATTCCATTCCATCATCACAAACTAGGCACTGACAATAATATGTAGTTAGTACAACTATACATCTTATCTCTTCCGCTTGATTTTTATGGCGATACTTGTATTGACCCGAAATTGAATCCCCTCTGTTTTACATTGACAGGGATTAAGTTTGAGAATATATCATACGACAGTAACCGATGTCAAGATTATTTACAATGCTAATGGAGTTTAAATACATCAAACTATCAAATAACTGCAACTAATAAGACTTAAGACGTATAAATTTACATCACTTCTTTTTAACAATAAAACTTATAAGAGGGGTCAAACGTTCGTTTGACGACTGGAACAGTAAAGTTGTATTAATGCAAATACTTACCAGATTTATTTTTTCCAAACTTTTATTAAGTAAAATATCAAGTTCAACCAATTTTTCCTTAATAGATGCTAATTGCTGAGCAGCTTCAGGTAGCTCCATATTGCGTAAATGTTCGAATCGTTTAATATAGTGACTACGATCATGTTCAACAACTCGGAATAAACGCTTTAGCGTTTCAAATAGTGTGAAATTCTGCGAGTTAGTGACATTGAAAATAGGCAAAATAAGGCATACTTTACACTCAGTAAACTGATTTTTTGTTTTCAGATAACAATTACGAAAGTAGTAAGCATAATAACACTATTAGACAAAGTCATTTGGATTTGAAAATATACGTATATAAACATCCTTGATCACATTCTTTATAACTACTCAGTCAACAAATCAAAACAGATATGTAAAAATTAAAATATGCCTGGTAAAAACAAGACCACCGATTTATCTGCTTAACAGATCGTACCGCTATCGGTGACCAAACTGTATTTCAGAGGATATGCTGAGGGAAGAGTAAGAGATTAATCCATAAATTTGTCATCATTTTTTGGGGGGAACTTAATTAGCATACGATTTATGGAGAAAACGCTAACACTTTGATTAGCACAGCTCTGAAAAAGTTAGATTAACCTGAGAGGGAGCAAATAAATTATTTCTTTTACAAAAATGTTCTTGACAGCAAGACCAATGTCTACTTGGTGGCAGTGACCAAGAGGACGGCGATCTACTGGTTAAAGCATTAGACTTACATCCACTTAGTCACAGGTTCAAGCCACCTGCTCACCGTAGCATCACTAGCCCTCATATTTGGAATGTTTAGAAACCAAACACACTGATCTGCACTTGGTTAGTTAATTCATCACAATAAAACATGTATTTACATCCAAACTTTATTTAGTAATACAAAGAATTGAGATAATCAGTAGTCTGAAACAGAATGGAACACGATACTCATTGAAGCAGACATCGATTAAATTAAATAACCAGAAAAGTATAATTCTAGCAGTTATTAGCGCACTACTTATAAAAGGAATATGGACTAAGTCATTCATATTATTTAGATATAGTGTATGAAAATAGTATGGTTAGCAAAGACATTTTTAGATAGTCTGTCTACAATGTCAGAGAAAACAGTACAATATTAGTACACTGTAAAAATCAAAAATGAACAAAATTTTCACAGATAAAAATAAACTTTGAACGAATGATCATATTCGAGAAACTTAGGAAAACGGAAAGTGTGAAGTTAGTTGACGAAACAAAATCTAACCTATAAGACACTCCATAAAACATTTACACTGCGATTAAAATAAATAACTGTCTTGTCATAAATATTCTGAAGCATATTCTACAAAATCCACCTGTATTTCTATACAGAAGTGGATTCAAAATAATCGCATTGTTGAGAGTTCAGTAACTGGGAAAATGAGACCCAAGCTTAAATTGGTAATATCGTATATTATCTTTAGCATACGCGTATAAACAAATGCCCTGGTGTGACTGAGGGTGAAGAGAGTCAGCTCTCTCTCTCAAAATGCTCTCACATGGCCAAGTTCATACAACCACTACTATAAAAGTCCTACTCACTGCCCTCTCGTGTTGGGGTGTTGTTTACGAAATTGAGAGGACGAAAAACGAACCGGGTTGGTGGATACGGAGGATCCATATAGGAGAGTTGGAAAACCCTGATTCCAAACCAATAGTTCACATGGACTCCAGGATACTGATGGAACAAATGAAGTATGAACTTATTGTTGGTCACCGGCTACCATGAGATTACATCTAACGTTGTTCCACCGCCTTATGAATCAGACCTTTAGATCGAAGGCTCTCGGTGTGCCCCCCTAAGAAAAGCGCCTGCTTCGGTTTGGGCGACCAGGCAGTATCACAGCCCACACACAAATCAAGTGACTTGTGTGGCGCATATGTATTCTGTGCCCGATTGTACCAATATTTATGTGTTCAAATAAATAAAGAAATAAATAACAAATAGACGAAAAACCATAGAAATAAAGAGAATACAGAGAAAATTCTCTTAACTCAATACAGGAACACCTCATCAACTCGTGGCACGTTGCTCCAAAGGAGTCATCCTTTTAAGTAATCTACACAGTCGAAAGAATTGGATTAGCGGGATGTCGAATCTAAAACTTATGCACTGCTGATGCGTCAGAGATCCATCTATTCAAGCCCGAACTCAGTGTGTAAAAACGACATGTTCAACCTCTCATCCTTCCTTAGCCCTAATTCTCATCTCCAGTATGCTTTTATCTTTGATGTTATTACCATTTCGTATTTTTTTTAAACGGTAATCAGGCCCTATTATCCTCTAACAATTTTTCATGATCATTATTCAACTGTTTTTAGGACATTGGTGTTGTTCGTTTATCTTCATATCTGTCAAATCGACAATTAACTCTCATAACTCTAACCCGTAAATAATTTCCATATTTCTTTCTTTATGCAACCTAATTTCGATACTTCAAATATCAAATAACTTTATGATCTCCTGCCCATCCATAGACTGATATTTTATCAAACAACCATAAATACGAATGTACAGCTTAAGTAAGTGATTTCGTCGAAAATAAAATTTTCTTCGCTGAATCATCTTTATTTTATTCAATTAGACAATGGGTTACTTTAATGATAATAATAATAATAATAATAATAATAATAATAATAATAATAATAATAATATTTTGATATTAATATAACTCAGATTTTAACCAAATTCATCCGTGACTGATAAAAATTACGTAGTTATATGATAAGAGTAAAAGTTCTATGTAGTACAATGGTAAAACAATAAAAACAAAATTACTTCTGTGTGGAAACTCACATTTGGATTTTCAATATTCACAGCCTTTTCCCATGTATTTTGCATTGCATTTCTGCGTTCAAGCATTTGAGCTTCAATTCGCTGATGATGAATGGTTTCCAATGTCTTCCGATCTCGTTCCGACTGATTTTCCAATTTAATAAACTTACTCAGGAACTCCTTACGAAAATTAACAAAACGTATCAAAATAACCATTCAAAATGATTAGCACAGTTTAATAACTCAAATAGAGTTAATGAATGAAGGTATTTGTATCATATTCTCAAAAGATTTTTGAAGAAAATGTACCATTTTCAGCCAATAAATGTTAACATATAAAAGTTGCTTAATCCAGTTTGATATTTCGCTAATGGATTTGTAATGTAATTTTTTCATACCCTTTGATAGTTTTATATGGTAATTACGTAACTGTAAAGAAAAAACCATAGATGTAATAGAACATTTTTTTAAAATTTTCCTAATACTGTTTCACTGTGAGACTAATCGAAGTGATGCGAATATTCGTTGTCTTTATGTGTGCAAAAAGATTAGATTCGACAAAAATATGAAAATGTTTTCGAAAAGCCCTTGAAATAAAAGTAACAGAAATAGTTCAGATATAGTTGTTTTAAAAAAACTCAACAATATAGTTGTTAACCTCGAAATATCATGGATGTAGAGTTACATTATCTATTTCCTGGTTCCCTAAAACTAATTAGAAAGTACTCATTCGACCCACAATGGAGTTAGAAATAAATAATAGGAATCTTTTTGATGGAGTTTTGTTCTCTGAGCTGGATGGTTTGGTCGTGAAGCTCCGAAATCATCCACCTGAGCTACAAGTCTTCTCCATCATCTCAACAATAAGAACCAAAAAACGGGTACTCTTACAATACATGCAAAACAATTCAAGCATTATAAACAGTGTTGAGAAATCCAAAAACAAGTGCAGCCAAAAGCTTATAATCTAACTCACACCATATGATCTACATCAAGGACAAAACAAATAGGATTTATAAAATAAGCTACAGAAACTGGGAGAAACCTTACACCGGACAACATGGTCACTCTCTTTATGTATTAACATATATCACCTGCATTGAATAACAGACTTACAGACTTTCTTCGAGATGCTGACAAACTCAACAAATTCAACATAGCCCTTAGCAACAGGTTCCAGGCCTTTCATGACCTACTCAATGGAGAGGGGACTACCATGGAGAACAACTGGAAAGGTATCAAGGAGGCAATCGTTTCAACGTGTCAAGAGGTTCTGGGCCAAAAGAAGCACCATCACAAGGAATGGATCACTGTTGGTACACTGGATAAGATTGAAGCAAGGAGGAAGAAGAAGGCAGCAATCAGCACCAGCCGAACCAGAGCGGAAAAAGCCAAGGCACAAGCCGAATACACAGAGGCAAACAAGCAAGTGAAGAGGAGCATCAGAACCGACAAACGTAAATATGTGGAAGATTTAGCAACGACAGCGGAAAAGGCTGCAAGAGAAGGAAACATGAGACAATTGTATGATACAACCAAGAAACTTGCTGGAAATTACCGTAAGCCAGAAAGACCAGTGAAAAGCAAGGAAGGCAAAGCAATCACCGACATTGAAGAACAACGAAACAGGTAGGTAGAACACTTCAAAGAACTCTTGAATCGACCAGCTCCACTGAACCCACCCAACATCGAAGCAGCACCCACGGACCTCCCAATCGATATTGGCCCACCAACAATTGAAGAGATCAGCATGGCCATTAGACAAGTCAAGAGTGGCAAAGCAGCAGGACCAGACAACATCCCGGCAGAGGCACTGAAAGCAAATGTAACAGCAACTTCCAAGATACTCCACATCCTCTTCAGTAAGATTTGGGACGAAGAACAAGTACCAACAGACTGGAAAAAAGAACTTCTGATCAAAATACCAAAGAAAGGTGATCTTAGAAAGTGCGACAACTACAGGGGCATCACTCTCCTCTCAATACCCGGAAAAGTCTTCAACCGAGTATTGCTAAACAGGATGAAGGATTCCGTAGATGCCCAACTTCGAGATCAACAAGCTGGATTTCGTAAGGATAGATCGTGCACAGATCAAATCGCAACTCTGCGGATCATTGTGGAACAATCAATCGAATGGAACTCATCACTCTACATCAACTTCATCGACTACGAGAAGGCATTTGATAGCGTGGACAGGACGACACTATGGAAGCTTCTTCGACACTACGGCGTGCCTGAGAAGATAGTAAATATCATACGGAACTCCTATGATGGACTAAACTGCCAAATCGTCCACGGAGGACAACTCACCGACTCGTTTCAAGTAAAGACCGGTGTTAGGCAAGGTTGCTTACTCTCACCCTTTCTCTTTCTCCTGGTCATCGACTGGATCATGAAGACGTCAACATCTGGAGGAAATCACGGGATACAGTGGATAGGCAGGATGCAGCTTGACGATTTAGACTCCGCGGATGATCTGGCTCTCCTATCACAAACGTAACAACAAATGCAGGAGAAAACGATCAGTGTAGCAGCAGCCTCAGTAGCAGTAGGTATCAATATAAACAAAGAGAAAAGCAAGACTCTCCGATACAATACAATATGCACCAGTCAAATTACACTTGACGGAGAAGCTTTGGAGGATGTGGAAACCTTTACATATCTGGGCAGCATCATTGATGAACACGGTGGATCAGATGCAGATGTGAAGGCAAGGATCGGCAAAGCAAGAGCACCATACCTACAACTGAAAAACATCTGGAGCTCAAAACAATTGTCAACCAACACCAAGGTTAGAATTTTCAATACAAATGTCAAGACAGTTCTACTGTATGGGGCGGAGACGTGGAGAAATACGAAAGCCATTATCCAGAAGATACAAGTGTTCATCAACAGCTGTCTACGCAAAATACTTCGGATCCGATGGCCAGACACTATCAGCAATAAGTTACTGTGGGAGACAACAAACCAGATTCCAGCGGAGGAAGAAATTAGGAGAAAGCGCTGGAAGTGGGTTGGGCACACCTTGAGGAAATCAGCTAATTGCGTCACAAGACAAGCCCTCACGTGGAATCCTGAAGGTCAACGGAAAAGAGGAAGACCAAAGAACACATTACGCCGAGAAATAGAGACAGACATGAGGAGAATGAAGAAGAACTGGATAGAACTAGAAAAGGAAGCCCAGGACACAGTGGATTGGAGAAAGCTAGTCGGCGGCCTATGCTCCATTGGGAGTAACAGGCGTAAGTAAGTAAGTAAGTAATATATCACCTGAGCAAGTCATAAGCTGTGAAAATCCCGGTTTAGGTTGCCATACCACAACAGCACAGCGAGACGGTGTTGCATAGACAACTGTTAACACGAGGTCAGTGGAGAAGACGTTCAAACATTGGGCTGGTGTAAAAACTGGACCATGGAATTTCAGGAGGCTTGGAACTTATTATTATTTATTTATTTAAACACATAAATATTGGTACAAGGAAGCACCAGATAAATATGCACCTCACAAATCTCATTCGATTTGTGTGAGGACTGTGATACTGCTCAGGCGCCCAGACTGAAGCAGATGGTTTTCTTAGAGGGCCACACCCGGAGCCTTTGACCTAAAGGTCTAGTCCACAAGGCAGTGGAGCATCGTAAGGAGATGCAGTCCCATGATAGCCGGTGACAAACAGTTGGTTCATACGCCATTCGTTCCTTCAGGATACTGGAGCCCATGTGCACCATTGGTTTGGAATCAGGGTTTTCCAACTCCTCTAGGTGGATCCTCCACATCCACCAACCTGGTTAAAGCGCCGGACGTTCGCTTTTTGTCCTCTTACTTTTGTGAACAACACCACCGCCACGAGAAGGCAGTGAGTAGGACTTCCCTGGCAGAGGCTATATAGGCTTGGAACTTAAGCCAGTAAGGAATCAGCAAGAAAATTAGGTTATAACGCATTATACGGCTTAAGAGTGATCTCAGTGGAGTGGCTGGATTTACTAGTTTAGTGTAATCTAAAAATTCTCATTCTTCAGTTTTCTTAGTTTCGATTGAGCTATATTTATCTTCGTGATTTTCTATTAAAATCGATATTATTTTCTTTCCCGTTCTTCTGAACTTTTTAATTTTCTCTTGTATTGTCTCAATGTGAAGTGTAGCAACCTCGACTGATTGGCATTCGAGCCAAGTTTTATGTTACGATAGAGACTCGACCAATTGGTCACTAATAAAAATGACAAGTAGCTATAAGGCTCGGCTCGTGAAGGAAATAACTAAGATATAAGGATAGATAATGATGTCGTAATTAATGGTAAACATTTGAAAGCATCGTAGTTACACCACACCGGTATGATTATTATCTATTACTATACAGTCCCCCAAAAAACTGCTCAACATGAAAGTCCTGTGGTTACACTTGATAAAGAACCACAGCTCACAGGCAGTGCACTAAATAGCAAAAGCCATGTGAAGACTGTCAATTAGACTCCTTTATCCAACTTAAATGAAGCCAGTCTAAACTGGTGACTCATTTAATGGGGTTGCCCAAAGTAATCAATAAGTCAGTGTATGTAGTACCGTGCTTCGCTAATCGTTCACCGCGATAACCGTTATAATACAAATCTTAATGGTGTATAATATCAGAAGCCAAACAGTTTTATTAACAAATGACGTAGACCGGAAAGTCACAAGCTCATGAGCAAATATCAGCGAGCGAGCGCAAGCAATTACATAGGCAATTTATAGTCAAATTGAATAAGAGCACAGCGAAACAAAACAACAGCTGATAAAAGGATTTGCGTGCATACATATGTGGAGAGGCGCATAAGTCATCGAATGATACTTAAGCAATCAACATCTCGGCTAAAGTGTCATGTACTCTAGAGGTCATAACAGTACAAAGAAATATGCATATTGTTATTATTCAAATGACGATGTCTGTTAAGTTAATAAAAAGAGGCTTAACCAAAATTAACCGTAATCGAATTTGATTGTAGGACAGTTGTTATAAATATTCTGAGACTGGTCATATTATAGTAAACAGAACACTAGTGGAGACAATCGAATGTATTTGGTACAAAAATTACAGACTATCTCACTAAAATCTGGCAACCATACAGTAAACGGTTAATTTGCAGACCACCAATCGATTGTTTTAATGTTGACCATTCGTTCTGAAAACATCAGTCCATAGTCTCCGATTATTATTGTTCATGCATTTTTATACCTACTGCGTTTCGTTTCCGTTCTTTCCTTATCGATCTTCTAGTGAAATACATTCTCCGCCTGAACACCGTCACATACTACTTATGTGGATATAAGCAACCCACACCACAACACAATACATTTTAAAACGAAATAGACACGAGCAACAACAACAACAAATTACTGTAGCAAACTAGCAGTGAAATTGACTGAGGTCTTAGGTAGAATCTGGGATCTGGACGTAATTCCATCTGACTGGTCCCAATCACTGATTGTGCCAGTCTATAAGAAAGGACAAAAGTCCTCCTGTGACAATCACGGAGGGATCAGTTTGACTAACATAGTGTCTAAAATATTAGCTTCAATAATACTAGGTCGCCTAACCAAAGCTCGTGAAGAGCAGACTAGAGAAAACCAGCCTGGTTTTCGACCTGGACGTGGTTGCATAGACCAGATATTCACCCTACGTCAGGTTCTAGAACATAGACACAAATTCAGACGTCCCACAATAGTAGTATTTCTTGACCTTAAGGCGGCATTTGACTCCGTTGATCGTGAGGTTCTATGGCAATGTTTGTCACTGAAAGGAGTACCAAAGAAGTACATTAACCTCATAAAGGCTCTCTACTCGAACACAACTGGTCGAGTTAGAGCCTATGGCGAACTGTCATCAGAACTGATTACCACAAGTGGAGTTCGTCAGGGCTGTCCACTCTCACCATTCTTGTTTAACTTTGTCATTGACATACTTTTAGAGATAGCACTTTCATCAGCTAAACCTCCAGGAGTTGAACTTTTACCAGGAGGCTCACTTGTTGACTTAGAATACGCCGACGACATAGTTTTACTCGGTGAAGACGCTGACAAAATGCAGAGTCTTCTGACCACCATAAGCAACAATGCAGGCATGTTCGGGATGCGATTCTCTCCCTCGAAGTGCAAAATGTTACTTCAGGATTGGGTTGCAGCGACACCTGAACTAATGATAGGGAGTGAAGTAGTTGAGCGTGTAGACCACTTCACTTATCTTGGGAGTCTCATCAGCCCTTGTGGTCTGGTGTGTGACGAAATCTCAGCACGGATACAGAAGGCTCGTCTAGCTTTCGCCAACTTGCATCATTTGTGGCGTAGGCGAGATATCCGTCTAGCAACCAAAGGACGGGTTTACTGTGCAGCAGTTCGCTCCGTCCTACTTTATGGCAGTGAAACATGGCCGGTAAGAGTAGAGGATATTCGTAGGCTACTAATGTTCGATCATAGGTGTCTTCGAAGCATTGCTCGTATATCCTGGGACCACCGGGTAAGTAATGAGGTAGTTAGGAAACGAGTTCTAGGTAGGGATGGCAAATCGATTGATGAAGTAGTGAAACTTCATCAGTTGAGATGGCTGGGACATGTGTTACGTATGCCCGACCACCGACTGCCCCGACGTGCAATGTTTCATGGTGTAGGAGTAGGTTGGAAGAAAGCTAGGGGTGGCCAGACCAAAACGTGGCACAAATCAATGAAGTCACTGACAATTGGACTGGGCCATGTTGGTAGGTGTAGACTACCTGGTTGGGATTCGCGAGATGACAGCAACCGGTGGTTAGAGACCTTGAATGACATGGCTCAAAATCGTTTGCAATGGCGAAGGTGCATCCACTCTTTGTGTTCTACCAACTTCTAATCTGAACTCTTAATGTTTCTATCTTTTTTCTCTTTCCAAATTTATTTCACTGTGTTATACTTCTTCAATAATTTCTTCAAACCCTAATCTTTTGGATTTGATTATACTCCTACTACTTCTACCACTATAGGATTTGAAACGACAACTGCATCTCTGTGCTAATGTGGTATGGCAACTCGAACTGATGTACGTACGTACGAAGTTCTACGTTATGACTGACTGACTGACTGTAGCAAACTACGGTACAAATCAATGCGAAACGAAGAATTATGAAGTTGAAACGAGCAACAAAGATAATCCCATGAATTAGGAAACACCTAATCATTTAACGATACAAAATAGAGAGAAATTAGGGTTGAGTTAAAGAAACAATTTTGTTGCTCACTTGAACTAAACTGTCCTCCTCGAGCTGACTTTTGACTGGTTCGTTTAGCCAGTCTTCAGGTGAAATCAGTGATTCTTCACTTGAGAATTTTTGTTCTAGCACTTTTTCCCGTTTGCGTAAGTCATCACCCAATGCTAATTTAGCTTGACTATAACGTTCACGCTCAGGTATTAATAAGCCAGAAGAAGAATTTTGTTTCGCGAATGACAAATAATTAATGACAGTTTTGTCACTATCCCAGATACCATTCTCAGTGGTAGTTAATTTATTACCCAAGCGACTGGGTTTATGGGACATTGAACTAATCTTGTTTCCGGGGTCGGTGAGTGGTTTCATAACGGCAGCAGAATCTAAAATCAACATCCAATAGATAAAACTAATCACAAGCTATATATATTAAAACCAAACCTTCAGAAATAATATAAGTGCAACAAAGTAAACTCTCCCCGAGCTAGCTTTGGTATCCAATCTTTTGAATAAAATTCAATTTCAACAGCAGGATTGAGTGAGATAGATATTATCATCAAAAAACATTAGCTACAGGCGAAAACTATCGTACTTAAACATCGATACTACGTCCACATTTTGGCATAAGAGCCACTCATCAAGTGAGGATTTGAAAAAAATAAAAAATCTATTAACTAACGCTGAGCTAGTAAGAAGATTTACAGCAAATAGACCCCTAAAACCGGGAGCAAATGTTTGAATACTCGAGATGGAACTGACGACAGCTTTATGAATGACAAGTTCAGGCCCTGCCTCATGCAATTTAGGTCATGGAACTAGGTGGTGTTACTGCTCCTTACACCTAGAGTATGATTTGAAGCTATGTATACGAATCTCTGCTAAATTGAAAAAAAAACAAAGACTTGAAGACACGTTCTGTGAAGGTTAGTGATACTACCAAGCTGGTTAAACCGAAGTGCAGTGAGCTCGGGCTAGCAACCTTGCGATTAAAAGCCAAAAGCCTTAAACACTAAGCTACTAATAATTGGGCGGCCAGAGCATGAAGCAATTCTATGAAGAGGATGGACTGCTAACTAGTTAAGATACTAAAATAAACTCCGATTTCCCTACGAGATAAAACGATAACGTGACAATCAATTGGTTTAATTTAAAATTGAGATGAAAAGAAGCATGAAGGATTTACGCCAGCTTGATATCTAAGTTAAAGCGTACATCCAACGAATCGATGACAATGAAATAATCGTAATTTTCTTACTATCAAGCTAGACTAACTGCATGTAATAATAATAATAATAATAATAATAATAATAATAATAATATACACGATATTCCAGTGTACAAATGATTGAACTCAAAGGAGAAAAAGCCCTTAGTCTAACAAACCTACGAATATCATAAACTACACCCGATTAATGAAATGCTGTGGTTCCGAAGCGTCCGTATAATGTTGACAAACGTTAAGAAGACTATGTTGGTGGTACTTTTGGTTAAGTAATTGTATGAAAGTTGGGTCAACAAAGCTTGAACCTGATATAAACACAAAGCAGCTCCTTTATGTAAAGCAGTATAATGTACATCGAACGACAGAGATACTTGAGAATGTAATACAACTCATGTAATATCAGTCAGTCTACTGACCAAGTGAAGATAATTTAAACCTATCTTTACAACTTCCAACAAACCACATGCAAAACGTACTTACTTGTAAAATCAGAATCAAGATTCTTGCAACACACTACTTTAGCAGCCGCAAAATACATAGAACGAAAGTCTTTTTCACTGATACAAGGTTTGTATGGTAGATAGCTCTGAAATCGCATGTTTCGTATAAGACAAGCTTCTCGAGTGGAACTCTCCCAAAACTTGTAGTTTTCACAGACGTAACTCCGTTCATTATCAAGGCTACTTAGCTGACATCCAACAGGAGTAAACAATGTGGTCATCGGGATATTATCTATGGAACCAATTTTTAAATAGTAACATTTGAAACATACCAAGGCATATGAAAGGCTTAATCTCATGTCGTTTATCACTGATACTCTGGCACTTTGCAAGTTTTTTATGTGCGAACTCACACCAATCTGACAGTACAACATCAATAGGAGGAGCGGAGACAACTGCGGTTATGTTCCTCTCGCTGTATACTTTCTTACAATAATTTAGGATCGACAATTCATCTTCAAGACAATCCTGGGTAAGATCCGTCACCCAAAACTCATTGTTTAAATAAATGGCCGGTTTACCACACTCAAATGCTACTGAATACAATGAGTGACCCAGTACGATGAAATTATAGAATATCAAAAAGCCAAGAAAGTTGAAGAACATGATGAATTAGAAAATAATATCCGGACAGTCAGAAATATAAAGTATATAAATTTGTCGGGCGAATTCAACCAGCAAACAGACTTGTTAGTATTAACATAACAATTGTTATGCTTAATTAGGTTAAAGTGACAGTTCTAGACTGTAATTATAAAGAAAATAACACAACCCAAGTGAGCCAAAGAATAATTCCACTCCATGCACATAAAGGTGTTATGTGGTCAGGAGAATTCAATCAAGTACCCAACCAAAGATTGTGAATAAACAATCTAACGAAATTAAGCAGAAAAACCCGCCAAACTTGATAGTTTTAAGACAGCCGCTTATAGAGTTCAAGCGAGCTACCGACCGGACAAAACAACTTGCACTTAAGAACAATAACTGATATTTCTGCCAGTTAACTACTAAACTTTGGAGAAAAAACAGTAGCTTTTATATCTTTCAATTTTTGGGATGCTTAGTGACAGTAACAAGATTTGGCAAGGGTTTTGATAAGGGAAGTCCCATATTCATGATATGACATGAAATCTTACCTCCGTATTTTGGAGAATTCACAGTATGCGTTCTTCAGAACTTTGTCTTCCTGTTTTACACATCTTTCTAAGTTCGTCTCAATGTATATAATACATTTTCCTAAAAGCAATCATGTGGATTTCTGTTTTAACGAATTGCTAGTCTCTGCTTAGGGGTGATTCAGTAGTCACAAAACGTCTGAGTTTTAAGAACAAACGATTCACGTATGTGCGTATTTAAAGATAAATTACACGAAAAATATATGCTGAGTATATTTTATGTATCAAAAAAAACATTTTATTTGCAGCATAATGGAAGGGTAAGGATGAACTTATGGAGCGTAATATCATCCTTTACAAAAAACGAAACGTACGGGTCATATATGTGTGTCAAATATGAATGTGATAAAAATGAGAGTTAACTTGCGAATAATTTGACATCCGTGCCATCAAGGACCACCGAGAAAATCATCCACAAACAGCTGCTATCAAGTTTACTCTCGGCTGGCCTGATTAGGCCATTGCAAAACGTGTTAATGACTAAACGCCCATGAATCACATCGCATTTGGAATTACTTGATCAGATTACACAGATCTTGGGTCTTGCTACTTTAAGCTTATGAATGTAGCCAGTGAGGTTATACAAGGAAGTGTGATTAGCCCATCACTATTTCGCTTTTACTTTTGTGACATGGTTGCAAGCGTGAGTCAATTGAAGCTAGACCACCAGGGAAAACCTAGAAGCTGTGGACGGCATTTTCGTCCCATTGTGGGACTCCTCAGCAGTGCGAACCCACGACCTCACCGCGCGAGAATAACTCAGATTCATTTTATCTTCACCACATATAAATAACACAGAAATTTATATTAGATTATCTTTCGCAATTATTATTGACTTTTTCAGCATCGTGTTAAATTACTATTGCACAAAAGTTTATACTATTATCTGTATCCTATTACATAAATTTACGTACGTCTACCCAAGTGGAATGAAAAGTTTAAAAAAAGGAAAAATGTCGATGGTTTACTTCAGAGGTCGATATTCATTACACTCTTAATATCATGGCTGATCCATTACACTAGATGTTCATTTCTTTTCTCTCTCACCCTTTTCCTTCTCAGTAAATATTATTCTTAAGTATTCAAAGCTTGTAATTAAGACTTCTCAGATTCTTTTTATCCTCACCATCTGGCTCAGAGAACGAAACGTCATCAAAATTCATTATGTACATATGACTCATATGTATTGATATTTAACCATCCTTTGCAACTAATTGAGACTTCCATAGCATCAATCCAAACTACTAATGCACAAACACTTATTCCACCGTTATATCTTACAGCGATGGCAAGTTATTATTTTTATTTACTTATTTTTGATGGTTTCGTTATTCACCTACCGGTACATACATAAGCCCTTGTTTTTGTTGTGTTAACAAACATGCCTATTAAACCATTTTCGTATTTGTCGTTTCCTCCATTTCTGTTCCTTTATATTATCTCTTTCCTTCCTTAAAGTCAAATCAATATTCTTCTCAATTACACCGAACCTGTCTTTTTTTCAAACATGGCAAATACTATACTAACATTATTGAAACTTGTGTATTATTGTATTTCTGAAGAAACCCGTAATGGTTTTTTACAACACTTATATACCCATAAGCTATTTATGAATAATAATAATGTTTAATATGAGATAGAAATAATGAGATTCGTGAACAAGGTTTTCGTACATTGTCTGAGGAACATAAAATAAGTTTATAAGATAATTGGTTGCATCGGTATTGAGCGCATTTGTCCTTCCTACAAAAACAATAGACCTAACCCAAAACTGTTGATTTACTATAATGTGACTTTCTAATCTATAAGATCTTGTATGGAAGTCACATCCTTGTCTATATAGACTCGTCCTAACGTGACAACCAGGGCCATGCTATTTAAAATGCAGTGCCACGATTCGTTAATCGTTCGATTCGATAATCGATATAATTCTAATCTTAAAGGCGTGTAAAATCAGAAGACAAAGGATAGCAGCAACTACAGTTTAGTGGAGATGGCTGGAAAGCCAACTCGAGAGCGAAGCGAGAGCAATGCGTATTGGAGATGGCTGGGAAGCCAACTCGATTTAAGCAAGCGTTAATCAACATTTATAGTCGGACAAAAATGAGTGACAGACATACGATAAATAAGATACGAAGTGTACACATATACTCTCATATAAAAGTATAGTCAAGGTTAATAAGCAAATGATTAACAAGATCAAAATATGACTCATAATGGATAGGTGAATTGGCTTGGCCAGCAACTAGAATAAAGTATGTGGGCTTAACATATAAACTGATACTACAAAGACTTCCAAAGAACACATTTGCGTTGGTGATGGAATGACATATTTGCTATGAAAAGGAAGAAGTTACACAAAGTGACCACCCGTAAGTGTTCTTCTCAAGAAGCTAGAGTTGAGTGTAATAATTATGATGCATTGAATGAAGTTTGCTCCCAAGACATCAAGAATTACACTACATTACTTAGTTATTCCAATCCTATGTGTAATCAAGGACGTGTAGCTAACAATTCATTGAGGAATTGCAAAGCAAGTCATAAAGGTGAGCACAAGTTTGGTAAATATTTGTCCTGTGGCGATTTTTACCTATGTAATTCATATGTATTTTGTAATGCTAAATGCCCTAAAAGTGGTAAAATTGGACATACTACGTCAGTTTGTAAAGCTAGTTTTATTTCGTTTCAAGTAAACTAGAATTTCTAATTCTGATCTTTTTAATTTGGGTGATTCTAATAGTCATCTTGCTTACTTACTTACGCCTGTTACTCCCAATGGAGCATAAGCCGCCGACATGTAATAGTCATATGCTATCCTTATTTACAACTTCCAGTAATTCACTTCATATTCAAAAACGATTATGTCTGTCCAGTGGTGCTTTCCATGATTTTATTGTTGACACTGATAGTATCAAGTCCATCATTCCTAGTCCTGATGTTATAATCATGCTTTCCGAAGTTTCCATATCTAGTTTTGTAGGTAATAGGCTATCTATTCCTGAGTGTTGTGATTTGTTAGTCAGAGTTGATAATTCTATAATTATAAATTGTAGATTTCAGATTACTGCGCTTGAGCAGTCTATACTAGGTCTATAAAATTTAAGAATGATTTAGGGTCAGCTTTCCCTATTGGTCACTGGGAATAGTTCTAATGAAGTGCTTGATAACTTACTAACTACGGAGTTGGAGTGAGGAAAATAATTCACGACTCCAAAGTTCCCTATTTTTATGTGCAAGCAAGAAATTTCAAAAATCCGCCTGTAGCTATTCTAGAGTTACTGCCGGTCCCAAGCCCGAGTAAAGGAGGAGGGTTGGACATGGGGTTAGCGACCCCATCTCGTAGAAAAGCTAACTCGCTAAAAAAACGCTAACCAGAAAAAATAATTCAAACCATTTAAACTCTGCCCTCCGAGTTGAAGGAATAATTATGACGTCTTATGATGAAAGCCGAAATTTTTCGGAAGTCAAGAGACCGGTGCACCTCATAACAACCAGAGCAACACTCTTTATAGGTACATGGAAAGTCCGGACAATGTGGGAGACCGAGAAGACCAGCCAAATAGCAATGGAAATGAAGAGATACAACTTGGCAGTACTCGGAATCAGCGAAACCCATTGGACACAAACTGGACAACAAAGGCTAGGTACAGGAGAGATGCTTCTGTACTCCGGTCACGAAGGGGAAAATGCTCCACACACTCAGAAAGTTGCTCTAATGCTGTCCAGAGAAGCACGAAATGCACTTGTGGGATGGGAATCTCATGGACCCAGGATAATCAAAGCATCATTCAGAACAAAGAAGCAAGGGATCACAATGAACGTTATCCAATGTTATGCACCCACCAATGATAGCAACGACGATGACAAAGATCAGTTCTATGAAAGGCTGCAATCAATTATAGCAAAGTGCTCACGAAATGACCTCACCATCCTGATGGGAGATCTAAATGCTAAAGTTGGAGAGGACAACACAGGATATGAAGATGTAGTTGGACGTCATGGATTAGGAGAGAGAAATGAAAATGGGGAGAGGCTTGAAAACCTATGTGCATTCAACAAATTGGTTATAGGCGGCACAACATTCCCACACTAACGCATACACAAAGCTACATGGATCTCACCGGACCACACCACACAGAACCAGATTGATCACATCTGTATCAACAAAAAATTCCGAAGATCAATGGAAGATGTGAGAACCCGGAGAGGAGCTGACATAGCTTCAGATCACCACCTGGTTGTGGCCAAGATGAGACTGAAGCTAAAGAAAGACTGGACAACTGGACAAACAGCACTACAAAGGTTCAATACAGCCTTCCTTCGAAATGCTGACAAGCTCAATGAATTCAAGATAACTCTCAACAACAGGTTCCAAGCTCTACAGGATCTACTGAAAGAACAAGAAACTACTTTGGAGGACAACTGGAAAGGGATAAAAGAAGCACTAACTTCAACGTGTCAGCAGGTTCTTGGTCCTAAGAAACATCATCACAAGGAATGGATCTCTCTGGGAACCCTGGACAAAATTCAAGAAAGGAAGAACAAGAAACTAGCAATTAACAACAGCCGAACACGAGCAGAGAAAGTCAAAGCACAAGCAGACTACGCAGAAGCAAACAAGCAAGTGAAGAAAAGCATTAAAGCCGACAAGCAGAAATACATGGGAGAACTAGCAACGACGGCGGAAAAAGCTGCAAGAGAAGGGAATATGAAACAACTATATGATACAACGAAGAAATTAGCAGGGAGATATAGCAAACCA